AAGCCAAGACCTGTAATGTCCATTGTGGACATTTGGAAAGTTTAATTCCTCAGTCACACAAGCCACATGTTTTCAACTTGCTTTCAAATGCCATCTCTTTGGGGCAAACTTCTGCACTCCTTGGAAATGTATAAAATGAGGATGTGCTCCTGCATTCTAGCCTGGCCATGGTCTCTACACCTGCTCATGGCGGTGCCTCCTCTACTCTCCTGAGCCCCTTGAGGACAGCAAGTGGCTGAATCCATGTCATCTTCGTGTTCTGACACATGAGGGCCTGACACATAATGGACATTCACTTTATTCCTTGTTCTTTCCCTTGAGAGTTGAGCAGGAAGAAACGGTAAGATGCTCCTTTCATAACAATATGAAAGCGTAACGGGAAGCTCACACACGGGCTCCCTCTTCTCAGGTGCTGACTCCAGCGGCTCTCTGAGAATGGCCTTCCTCCCCTGCTCACCCTCCCTTCCAAGACCCAATTCAGATCCTGTCCTTTAGAACCACAGGGAAAACGTCTGGCAAGAGCCACTGTTGTACCAGCTGATTTAAATTGAAATGTTTTCCCCAGATAAATGTGTGCTAAATAATACACCAGCTCTCCAGCCAGAGGGAAGTGACAGGCGCTCTGTAAATAAAGGCACTTAGTTGCTGGTAAAGAGCCGTAAAGTGGTTCTGAGCTGATGTTTGCTGACCAGCAAGAAGCGGCTTCACCTGCTTTATGTAATTGTCACTGCAGCCTCGCCTGCTGTATATTAAAACTGCATCTCATAGACTCAACTGTCACATCGGATAGACCATCCGCATGGGGTGTGCCACCTTCTCTGTAATTGTTTTCGACAACCAGCCATCACATCTCAGATCATTTCAGAAAGTGTCTGGGCCAGAATCCCCAGGCTGGGTCAGCTCTGACACTATGTGGGCTCAGATAGCGACACCACAGGGATGTGAAAAGAGAAGAGGGGAGAGAAAGTTTTGTTTATCTAGGAGACCATGTGGCATGCAGTGCCAAGTGTCTGAACACAAATCCCGATGAGGACTCTCCCTTTGCATTGTTAAGACACATTTTTCTTGCATCAGGACAGAAAAACTCTCCAGAGGAAAGTAGCACGGGGACTCCTGACTAAGCTGGTCCAAGGGCACACACATCTGTCCCGAGTCCACATTTCTATCTTGCTGCTTTCTTCAGAGGTGGTGATATAGTTCTCAGGACCAAGCAAACTATGGGGTTTTACAAAGGACTACAGAAGAAATAGCAAGGACAATGGGGTGGCAGTGGCCAGAAATCTATGTAGTTAACACTTGGTGGGAGGGGTTACATTTGGTTCCCAAAGTGAAAGAGGAACAGGAATCCATTTTGGGGTCTGTAACTCCAATCAACTGGGACTTCCCAAAGCCCTGCGGAATGGCAATAAATATATCTGAGCCACACGAGCACTGCAGTTGGTGAGAGGGTCTTGAAGTAGGGGGGGAGGGTGATGGGGGGAGAGACAGTGTCTGGGACACTCAGCTCATCCATCTGGCCCCACAAGTTGGGATGGACCCCAGGAGTGGGTGTATTTATAAAGCCCGCCCCTCGGGAGGAAGCCACTTCCCTCATGAATGCCCACTGCCAAGCGACTGTCTTTGGGAAGGTCAGAGTGTCACCAGATTAGTATTAGAAACCAAGCACCAAGAATGAGCAGAGCAGTCACAGCAAGAAAGGAGGGAACTACAGGCTTGGTGTGTCCACAGCTCCTGAGGCCTCTTACTGAGCAGATCCAACTGCTTGCTGGGGACTAGGGGACACACCCTCCCTTCTACTGGGAACCTGGGAGGGTCTCCAGAGCACATCCTCTGCCTTCCTGTGAGCTGTGTGCACCTGTGTGTGCATATATTCATGTGTACGTCTGAGCTTGTACAAAAGAAGTCTCTCTCTCTCTCTCTCTCTCTCTCTCTCTCTCTCTCTCTCACTCAGGAAAAATGAACTCCCTTCCCCTTTCCTCCTTATCTCTCATCACTACTTATTTTTCTTGCTTATTTCTGTGCTAAAAACAGTTAAGAAGGCTTCTGAGCTTTGGGTGGGTATCTGAGAAGAGGATGTTATTTTATCCATTTGGCCATTAGAGAGGACCTAAGAGGCCAGGATAAGGTTTGTAAGAGCTGGAAGAAACATCTATTTCAGATGCATATACAGCTGGGCTTTGACAATGCAGAGGTTAGAGATGCTGACCTCCCATGCAGTTGAAAATCCACATATAACTTGTGACTCCCCCAAAACTTGACTACTAATAGGCTACCACTTACCAGAAGCCTCACCAACAACATCTACAGTTAATTAAAACATTACGCATGTTATATGTATTCTATACTACTAGTCCTGGTGCATGAACTCATGCACATTGAAAGAAAATTAATTAAAAGATGGCTGGCAGGGTGGGACTGGGTGAAATGGGCCAGACACGCCCTGGAGTCAACCTCCCATTCTCCCTCCCCAGTGTTTGCAAAGTGAGGGGATCCCTCTGGCAGGTGGGATTCCCCTGGCTGGCCTGCAGGAATCAGGCCAGATCTGGCTCTCTAAAATCCCCCCAAGGGATTCTGAAGTGGGAGAGGGCACTCTGCAAAGTTGCTGCCGTACATGATGTGGAACGCAAACACAAGTGTGCAGTAAACCATATTCAGGACCAACAGTGCCCCAGCAACAACATAACCCACAGCCAAAGGTAAAATCACATGGCCCCACCAGTAATGCGGTTCCCTTCTCTCTGGTTTTGGGGTGTGTCACCTGAGAACCACTGCTGCTCAGCAGCTCCTGCGTCGAGTGTCTGCCCCCTGGTGGTCAGTGTGCATCATAGCGACCAGTTGGATGGTCAGATACTTAGTATATTATATATTTTATTACAATAAAGTAAGCTAGAGAAAATAAAGTATTATTAAGACAATCATAAGGAAGATAAAATACATTTACAGCACAATACGTATTTATGGAAATATATCATGTATATGTGGACCCTTGCAGCACAAACCTCTTGGTTCAAGTGCCAATTGTATAAGTTGTGCATGAAGACTTTGATCCATGGATCTGTAAAATCCCAATGACTGGATTAGGAGGAAGTGGGCATGCTGGGGACAGGGGTGTTCTTATGTCCCTTCTGCTCGGCCTCCTCCACCCTCAGGGAGCACTTCTGGCTCCACCTCTTTCCCTTCTCCCTGGTGGTCCTGCCCGGAGAGAAGGAGCAGCTGTCTGGGTGGTCAGCATGTTCACTGGACCTGGATTCCTTAGTGTGAAGATTGATTGTGCCTTAGAGCCATACACATGAGGTACCCGGGACCCTCAGAATTCAGCTTCCAACCCAGAAAGTCTGGGCTAGGCATGAGATTCTTCATTTCTAACAAGGTCCCTGGCAGTCCCCCTGCTGGGTTCAGAGAACCCATACAGAAGTACAAGTTCTTAAAGGCACCTCGTAGGCCAGCTTGCTGTCTGCTTATAGCCTTGTCACCTCCGCTCTCTGCCTCCCCAGCATGCAGCTGGGTGGTAAGAGCTGTCCTCAGAGCCTGGCATGTTGCCCTGCCCTGCTGGTACCACTGAGTTAGTGGGCACCAAGATTAAAATGTGCAGGAGTGGCAGAGGATGAGAGAGTGAAGAGGTCCAAACTGGGCTTCTGGCTATCCCCATCAGGGTTCATAAAAGAAGCCACTCTATTCCGTATGAAGAAGCTGACACCACCATGGGGAAGGCTGCGGGAGCAAGTCGAATGGGCCACCATTTGCTGTTTCATTTGCAACACCAACTGGAAGGCTCTCCAGAGCTTCCCAGAAGGTGCCGTGAGTCTCAGATGCCCAGAGAAGTCAGCTCCTCCGTCTCACTCCCCAGCACCAAAGCCGTGGTTCTCAGTAGGCTGCCCTGAGGTCTGTTTGGAACCTCACATCTGAGCAGGGTCTGGCTGTAGCTGCTTCCCTTTCTCTCCCTGTTCCAGGTCTCTCTCAGGCTCCCCTCTCATTGGCAGACTCCAGCCCAGACCTCATCAGGAAGAGAATTTGAGGAACTACTACTGGCCCCGGCCTCACACCAGATGTCAAAAGGCGGTGGTGGTGATGTAGAATTGGCACAGGTCTACACTGCATGGAGCCGAGCTTTATAGCGACAATGCGATGGTGTCTACGCTCCAGCAGCTCTGGTTCCCATGGGCTGTGCTCCCTTTACCTTGGCTCCTGGAATGATGGTGGTCAGGTCCTCCTCAGGCCCCCAGTGCCACCCTCTAGCAGACCACGCATGACAATAATCCTACAGCTCAGGGCAAGCCTACGCAGTGGTGCTTTGGGGAGAAAAATGCCTCCCAGCCTATCCTGCTGAGGCCCTAATTAGAAAGGTTGTTACGGGGTTTTTGCTGTGCTGCCTGCCTGCAACTCCTTGGTGACATCTTTGCTTGTATCCCAGGGAAAATGACAGAGGAGACTGGGGCGGAGCCGAGGTGGCATTTAGCTCTACTGTGCTCCCTGCAGAGAACACATGGGCTGAGGAGCACCACCTCTTGCTAAATGACTTTCAGTGCCCACACAGTCCTCTCTCTCCAGGGGCCACATCCGTTCGTTGGCATAGTATCGCATAAAGCTGAACACCCCTGAGCGGCGACAACAATAGCAAAGCTTCGTAGAGGTCAGTGGCAATGACATATTCTGGGGAGAAACGCTGTGAATTGCTCAGCCAGCGTCTTCAGTGCTCTGACATTTAGTTGGTGACCCTGGTCACAAAACACCACTTGGGAAGGCTGAGGGGTGGCGATGGAAAGGCTGGGTCATTCCCCAGGAAGGCAGCGTGCTCTGAGTGTGGGTCTTCCTGCCTGGGTCCTGGGATGGCCAGGAGAGGAAGCGCCTGCCCCTTTGAGTGCCACCACAGTGACCGACCGCGGAGTCCCCTGCCTGGCAGGCCGACGTGAGCCTCTGTGAATTGCCGAGTGAAGGATATCCCTCTTGCCAGCCCCTGTCCCCTGCAGGCAGAGGAGAGGACTATTACAGGCTGTCCTTACCTTGGGAATTCGCCTGCAAGACCCCGATGCTGTCATCAAACTGCATAGATTTGATGTTGAGTGACGCCAAGATGCATTCCTTGTCCTGCAGCGAAGTATCATCAATATTATTCTGATTGGCTGACAGGATAACGCACATGTCACAGAGGTTGATGTTGACGGCCCTTAAATCAGCCCGACTTAATGGCGTACCCTTTGGCAGAGAGGAAAGAAAAAAAATAGGAGAAGCAAAAGTGAGACCCAGGGACGAGAAGGAAAGAGGAAAAAAAAGAAGAAAAACAAATTAAAGATCGCGCTGGAGCTTTGGGAAATTATTTAACAAGTATCTTCTTTATGCCTTGACATTAAGCTGGCCTAACTGCATTCAGGGGAATAGGAGCTGTGTGCTAATCTAAAGGGTAGTCGGTGCTGATGGCAGCATTTTAGACTCGCTCTCAATACTCAATCAAGCTATTACTAACAAACGAGGGAGGAATAATGCCAGGGTTCTACGTCTCCTTCCTGCTGGAAATTGTCTTGATTTAAGGAACTGTCCTGTGGCAACCTCAGGCTTTCAAAACGTAATGAGGGGGTGGGTTTCCAGTGCCTGTTTATTTAATAGCCGGTCACTTCTGTCACCAGCAAAAGACAGCAGCTCCAAGGAGAATTTCCGTTGCAGGCAAGGGGAATGGCCAATGAGCAGTCGTGAGGAGATGGGGCTGAGACAAGGCTGCCCTCAGAAGATGTGGGCTGGGAGGAGGTGGGGAAAGGGGGTGCGGGAGGCAGCTATGTGCATCTTGCAAAGGGGAGAGGAAAAGGAGTGAAGTTTCAAGTCACAGAATTTTATTTTAGCAGAAAAAAAAAATAAGGAAATTGCCTAATTGTCCAACGACATAGGGATGGCTAAACACACTATGGAGCCTACATAGCATGGGAGTCTACGCAGTCAGGAAAGGAGCTGAAACCACTCTCCACGCTGGCATCGCCTTGGAAGAATCTGACACAGAGGAATACATGGGAAAAGGGAAAATCAAGTTCTACACAATTTGAAAAGTATGACATCCTTTATGTGAAAAGAATCCCACAAAATGAAACTATATGTTTATGAATTTATTTATAAAGCTATGGACATCCAAAGAGAAAGTTCAGGAAAAATTCGCACTACACTAATAACAGTAATTACCACTGGGGAGGAGAATAAGGTGAAAGGAAAAGTTTGGTTTTGATTTTACATACTTCTGTATCGCTTGATATTTTATAACGAAGATGTATTTGTATATTCTTAGTGTAATTAAAAATAAATAAAGCAGAAAACAGGATTTTTAAAATCCTGAAACAACAATCCTGATTGGGATGATTGCGAGAGAGCCCACAAAAGGGCACAGTGGGGCCAGGATGAGTGGGAGCAGCAGAAATGAGCTGTAGGTGACATTGGACTACAGCTTTTGACCTGATCCCTGCAGGCCACCCAGAGGTCCCCACCCTGTGCACAAACTTGTGCACCACACCTCTAGTACATAAATAAACAACAACAACAAAAAGGATATCACAGGCACACACACAAATCCAGGGAAACACAGAGGACTGCTAAATGAGTGAGGGGGAGAGGCTGATCAGCAGAAGGGGTCGGCTTTCATAGAGCAAAAATAATTGAAGAGCTCTGTTAAATACATTTAACTAAGAACAGAATGTGATAAAATAAAGATTCCCCCATAAATAAAATGATATAAATAGCTCCATAAGTAAAGTCTGCTCTAAGCATCATGCTATTGAATAGCACTGGGATTGGGTAAGCATGAGAGAGTGTTTAGACACTGACATGGTTAATACATTTGATACCAGCTAAACTTCATGTCTGTGGAGCAACTGAACTGGGCTGCAAATTCTTTTTAATAAGGTCCCCCAGGGTTTGGATATTCCTAGACAGAGCATAGAGGAAGGGCTGAGTCCTCAGGCCCATAACCAGATAAAGAAGCAGAGGCGTGATCAAAGCTCCAACTATTATATCCATCTGGGATTTTTTGTGTATGAAAGGAATTTAAAAAACCCCACCATCAATAATGTGACCTTGGGCTTACAGGCAATATGGACACTTTGGGGAAGTTGTGAAGCGTCTCCCATTCCCGCTTGAGGTACTCAATGGAGCCCACGAACACGATGTGCTTGAGCTCGTGGTAATGAAAGTTGCTGGCGCGGAGTGGCATCACCAGGTTCCGGAGGCCAATCAGGGCTGAGCTGACATCGCCAAAGATGCAGACCACCACGTGGCCACTCAGGACAGTCATGGCGGCTTCACTTCGAGTCTGTAGCAGGGGGAAGTGTATGAACATCTGAGAGAAGATCTCCTCGGTTGTGGTAAGAACTAAAAGAATTCACCTGGTTGGCATGGCTTGGTGGTTGAGCATCAACCTATAAACCATGTTTCAAATCATGTTTCAATTCCCAATCAGGGCACATGCCCAAGTTGCAAGCTCAATTCCAAGTGTGGGGCTTGCAGAAGGCAGCCAATCAATGATTTTCTCTCATAGCTGATGTTTCTATCTCTCTCTCCCTTCCTCTCTAAAATCAATAAAAATATATTTTAAAAATAACTAAAAAATCATGAATGTAAAGGACAGAGTAAAGACACACAGCAAGCACTTGTTGAGTGCTTACTATGTTATTTTATATGCTATAATTTTTATCTCAACAATGTTATACACATGCTATATATATTTATAATTTGAGTGTCTATGTATTTAGCACACTAGGTATACTAAATATATTGAAACATATACCTGCATATACCACTACATTTTTTATAAAAGATATGTCATACATGCCTATGAGCAGATCTTTCTTAATGGTTTTCAGGGGGAAAGTCAGAGAAACAGTGATATTTATGTTATTTGGAAAGGAAAGACTTAGTTTCTATAAAATTGTTGATAAAATAAGCTGTATTTTTGCCTTGGCCAGGTGGATCCATTGATTAGAGGGTCAGTCTGTACACCAAAAGATTGCAGGTTCGATTTCTGGTCAGGACATATACTTAGGTTGCGGATTTGATCTCTGGTCTGGCGTGTGCGGGAGACAACCAATCAATGTTGTTTCTCTCTCTCTCTCTCAAAATCAATTTAAAAAATCATATCCTCTGGTGAGTATTTAAAAAAAGAGAGAAAGAGAGAGAGAGCACTATGTTTTTTGCCTCTCTTGCTGAGATAAGAATAAAATAGTCAAATCCTATGTTGGTCTCAAGAAATGTGAGTTCTTAGTTCTAGACTCCTCCGTGAGATTCTAAATACATCATTGCATCAACAGGTAGAACAGAATATCCTAAGCCAGGGATTGGCAAACTATGGCCCACAGGCCAAATCTGGCCCACCACCAACTTTTGTATGGCCATGGCTGGTAAGCTAAGATTGATTTCTATATTTTAAAATGGTTGGGGGAAAAAACAAAAGAAGAATATTTCACAATATGTGAAAATTATATGAAATTCAAACTCCAATAAAATTTTATTACAACACAGATTTTACTCATCTAGGTCTTGCCAATGGTACTTTTCACATTGTAATGGCAAAGTTGATTAGCTGTGACAGAGAACATGTGCTCAACAAAACCTAAATTATTTATTATGTGACCCTTTACAACTGACCCCTGTCCACTGCAACCTTGGCGTCTCCAGCAACATGCCTGGAGTGGCTCACCTGTGTAGTTACCAGAGGAAGATTCCCCCCAAAAATCATTTAAAAAATCTAGAGTAAGAATGACAAGAGGAACAACAGCCTTTGTCTTTCCCAACCCCTGTCCTGAATCTACAAAGAAGACAAATGAAAGAACCAAATGACCCACATCAGAAGAGGACATCAGCTTCCCGGGAAATGTCATGTTAGCCACTGCTGGTGGTTTCACTCACTGTTGGCAAAGAGAACAACACACGAAGGCCATCTGTGGGCCTTTGTCTGCCTCTCCTTCTGGCCCAGCACCTCCCATCGTGCCTACCTGCCTGTACACCCACTGAATGCCTGAGTAGCCCCACGTGGCTTATAATGCTTTGGGGGAGGCATATTAATGTCCACCGCACATATCAAACTCTACTCCACTTAATCCCTAGAACTGACCCGTGTATTGATTGTTTAAATGCCAATATTGCAATTCATGACAATGTCAGAGTTACAGTAACCCCCAAGGAGGGGAAGAAGCTAGCTTTTACTCCCTGATCGTTAGACTAAAATAGGGGCTGTTGCCATTATTGGTTTCCTTCTGTAATAGCACAGGAGCACCTAAGACACCAGCTGTAAGAAATGTTTCATAAACTGTGGCCAAGGGGGACCCACTGGGAGTCACAGCCTGCATCACCACCTCATGGGGTAGGCCTAGAGTTGATTATTTTGGCTGCAAGAAAGTGTGTGTGCCTGGGTACCACCAGCAGAGGGTCAATTAGACTGTAAGGTGCTGTGATGGGGCTCCTGATTATTTTGAATTGCCAAGATCACCTGGGAGCTAGCTCCTTTCAACAAGCCTGATGAATCCAAACTGGGTCCAGAGAGGGAGCAAGGCATCTAGAATAGGGAGGTGGGGAAGGCACCAGTTAGCAGAGTGGCTGGGGGACAGATGCTGACCCCAGAAACTTAGATCAAGGTACCCCACCTGGAGTACCTTGTAAAAGCACTCAGCCCTACAGAATCTGATTCTGCCAGTTGTAAGACACACTGGAGAGATGATTCATGTGAGCATCCTGTGCCTGCTTCGCATGCTTCACAGCCCTACTGAAACTGGGGTCCTTAATGGCCTCAAACCCGGGGAAGCACAACCTGTTTATATCCAGTAAGACTTCCTGGACGCTGAAATGCATGCCAGGCTTCTCCCTGAAATTTGAATAGCACTTTGTGCCTCTACACATGTAGCTTTAAATGTACTGTTTCATGGTTATATTTTATGTTTTCTCTCCAATTAGATTATAACTTCCTTAAGATGGAGGCCATCTCATGAGCAGCACTATTTGTCATCTTCAGCACTCCACCTGTCTACACTCTTTGCTAAGAAGGATCACAAATATGCAGAGCTATTATTTACACACACACTAACTACTGTGATATGCACGTAACAATACAGGCAGTATTCAGATTTTTTCATGGCATTTAACAGTAGTAATGCTAATAATAGGTAGCTCTGTTGAGTTATATTTTGGGCTTTAATTTTCACTACAACCTTATGAGTTATGGTCATCCCCATCGCATTTTCTTACAGATAAGACAACTGAAGTGCAAGGAGGTCAAGTGACTTGTCCATGTTTGTGCGGCTGCTAAAAATCACACGCAGGCTCTGGCCCTGGAGCCACACCCACAGAAGTGAGGGTACATAAATTTTCCCATGATGCCTTTCAGAAGCATGTGATCCTATTGTAATGACTCCATAAATATTCAAAGATAGGAAATTCTACTCTTGGTTCATGTTCTTATGAGAGTCCTAGCTGCTTCAATATGTGTCCTGCATTTTAATTATTCAAAGTAATTAGCACCGGGGGCTGAGTTATCCCACTCTGCAGTCAGAGAAACCACTGCCCTAATGAACGTAGCTTGGGACAGAAGCCGGCGGCATCGATTCGCGGCCTGTCACTCACCAGGATGACTTTCTCTATCTCCTTGGGAGCGCACCAGTGAAACATCCCAGTAGAGTCGTACTTCTTCACGTTGGAGTCCATGTTGTCGATCTGATCATTGCCGGGAATTAACAAGGGGTCATGCCTGGGGAGAAAATGACAAGAAAGCCGAAGTGGGAAATTGATAAATTATAAATGGAAAGTGCCCCTGAGTTCCATGTGGAGGAGATGAAGGATGTAGAGAACCTGACTGTCACTGAGAGCCATTCTTGTGCTTGCAAACCTATCTCAAACCACCAGCACCTGGGAGTGCAGGAGACCTTTGTCAGGTAATGATTCTGCCGTCCTCTCCTACTCCCCTTTGCTACAATGGACTCCACATTATTTTGTAGATTTGGTCTCCCTTTTTATGAAGAGGTCACTCTTGGTTCTCCTCTCATTTGACCAGCTACCCAATTTCTCCAGTTAGCTTGGACACACACACACACACACACACACACACGCACACACAGTTTGTTGTTAGCATTGGCAATGAAGAGGAAGGAATAGGAACAGGGTTTCAATGCTGACTGACTGGCATGAGGATGGAAAGCCAATTATTCGTTCTTTCTGACTACAACTTCTGACGTGATTCTCTTCGCAGTAAAAGCTTTAACAGGCTGCACTTTAAATATTTTAGCAATTTGCCCAATCAGATTTTGCTCTCCACGGCTGAAGCCCTTTAAAGATTCAGCAGCATGTCACTTCAGAGCAGACTGACTACCAAACGCCCACATCTGGAATACATAATTGCAATACTAAGCAACACTCTCTCTCCTTGCCTTGACAACTGCATTTGCACTAACTGTCCAATGGGGCTCCCCCCACCCCACCTTCACCTCCCAGCTGCAGCATCCCTGCATGAGAGCCTCAAGCTCAGACGCATCTTAATACACTTGTTTTGAATTCTTAGGGCTGCATTCACCCTCTCTCGCCTTGTTACTAGTGGAAAAGGAGGAGGCTTTTATAGAGTCCTCCCCTCCAATAGATTGGCAGACACACCGACATCCTTAAGCATTGCAATAGAACCGGGCAGGTCTAACGAGTTTGCAGCATAAGAAACATACTCCTAAGTGTTGGGCAATATCTGCGTTCAGGTTCTGTCTCCAATAGTGGTTCTGTGCCTCAGGTTTGGGCTGGGTCATTTGGTTTGGGCTGGGCCAAAACAGTGACCACTATAATTGGAACAATGTCCTAGGCATCCCTGCAGTGGAGCTATTTTTCCTGAACAATAATGTCCATTCAAGAACTAAAATATAAGTAGGTTTACATTCTAGATATTTACTATAAAGTGATTTTACTTTTTAAGTAATCTATTCAAACTTCAAAGGGTGACCTTTATTTAGTTGACATTATTTCTCCCTCTGAACTTTTCCTGACACTTCTCATTTACATGTTCATAATGCAGACAGTGGGATAGCCATCCCTCCTACATGGTCCACAGACCTAGAGTTACACTTTCAGTATAACCATCATGACCATTTCAGCCTCCCACCCCCAACTTAGGATGAGAAAGCTCTGACTGCATTTATTTATTTTTGAGAATTTATTTCCAGGCTGTGCCAAATGACACCAACCATGTGAAGGAACCCTGCAAAGTTATCTCCAATGAACATATTAAATTATGATAGGAATTGACATGCAGGGTCCTAAAGGAGAAGAACACCCCCACCCCTTGGAATAGCATCTCAAGTGCTATTTGAGATGGGTATTTGAGAGGTCTTGAGATGTTATAAACCATCTGATCACCTTTCAGATACTGAACTCAGTCAAAAATGGTAAAATAAAAAGGAAGTTTCTGATAAAAAGAGATTAGGGCAAGAGCAAAATTTGAATTTTTTGACCTTGAAGAATATGTAACTAAGAAAAGAGAAACATGCAAATTAACCATCACTTTACTATGTCCACCAGCCAATCAGGAGAGAATATACAAATTAGAAGGTCAAAGATGGTGGCCACCCAGCTGCTCCAGGTGCTGAATGGCCTGGCGGGGCAGAACACTTGCTATGAGAGGGAGGGCGGGGGCAAAGGGATCTACAGGAGTAGTACTCCAGCTGCAGCAAAGATGAAGATGGCAGACTTTGGCCAGAACGAAGGCCTGGGTCCTGGGTGCCAGAGGAAAACCAGTGCTGGAAGCCAAAGAAAGAAGAGCCTTTTGCACAAATTTATCATGCAGTGGGCCTCTAGTTCTATATTTATCTATTCTCTGGGATAAGTAGATGGATAGAGACCACCATAGCAAAAAGGCTTGAGAAAATGAGCAGAATGAACTCTTAAAAGAGGATTTTAATAAAGTTGACCTGAACATAAAGAGTCCAGTTTACTGGTTGGAGAAGGAAGATTATCTCAGGAAAGTCTAAGACCCACCCTCAATGCATTCAGAATTAAAAGGTACCCAATAAGCATACCAATGACAAATTCCTTTACGACAATATGTGTCTTAGGAGAGAGGATACATATCGTGTTTCTTCCTCTTTCTGGGAAGAAATCATTCCTTGGAAATACTGGCCTCCAACCCCATTTAGAAAAGTAGATAAATAAGCCTTATGATCAATTAATCCTCAATGAGAGGAAAAAAGACAGCTTTTTAATGACAAGACTCACTAATGGGGGTGAGAGCTTGGGGGCAGCAGGTATAATTTGACACCAGGGCTGCAAGCTGGGTGGCAGTGGGACATCAGAAGCACCTCGGAGGTCTCAGCACTGTCTCCCTACATGTCTTTTGTCTGGCCTAGCTCATTTAAAGATAAGCATCCAGAATTTTCCTCAAAGGGTTGAATCCAAGAACCACCAAAAACTTCTCAGAACAAATGTATTTCACTTTCTGACCAGCCATGGCACCTGGGATCTGAACTTTTGTTTCTTGACTCAGCAAAGCAAGCAAATAAACATAAATCTCCTGTTCTGAGCCAGGAATCTAAGACAATGTAATGACAGGACACAGTCCCTCATCAAAGACAGGGTCGTACATAACAGAGAAAATGCCAATCAATAGTGTGACCCACCGTGGTAAGTGTCATAGCAAAGCAATGTACAAGGTGGTAGGAGAACACCAAGAGCAAAGCTGTTAATTGCCTGGCATTTGAATAACATTAAGAAAGGCTCCATGGGAAAGGTAACATTTGACCTACGCTCTGGAAGGTGGAAGGACTCTCAGCGTATTTTAATTGTTGATCCATTAGTAGCCATTAAGACCATCTCAAAGAATTGAGACCCAAATTAAAAAAAAAAAATATGGCACCTAAAACCATGGTGGCAGATGCCAGCTATGGTATTACCTAACCTGGGATATAGTGGACTCCGGCCAGGCACACTAGCTGTCCACAGATATGAATGATGATCCAGTGAGGATGGATCAACTGATTGGGTATGACTGACCGAGAGCAGATGACAAACAATGCATGCTATAGGTAGAACAAACACCAAGTTTCCAAAAAGGAGAAATGTTATAAAAAGTGAAGCTTTTTCAAAAGCGAAATGAGATGCTTCCCAAGGCAGTGGATTTCTCACCACTTGAGACATTCCAGAGGAGCTGGTGATATAGAATGTTTTATGACAGAGGTCAGGTAAGCCCAGAAGACCTTAAAGGCTTGAAGCAGTGTGCTTTTGTTAGACAAAGGGGTGGCTAAGAGGATTTTGAAATATTGAACCACTATTGGGCATCGACAAACCAAGGGCCTTGAGCAAGCAAAGAAAAGTTGTTGGAATAAAGCAGAACTTCTATATCTAAATTGAGGTTTTGGAAGTGTATCCATAGAAGCAAATCCAAGCATTTGCCACTGAGCACAGCCAACATTAACAAGGTCAGGACCAGGAGAGGAACTGGAGTTTGTTGCACATGGAAAAGAGGACCAACAGAAGCATCCCGAACCAAGCATCCAGCATGGAAGGTTAACAAAATGGTGAAGAGAATGACTTTCACAGGCTCTCAGACAACTCCACAATTAATACTTAGCTGGATGGACCCCAGAATGAGTAAGAGACACTGCCTTTCACATTCTAATTATTTTATGTATTTTCTCAACTCACAAGGTAATCCCAAATTCCCTACAATGCATGAACTCATGTCTCATTGGTTACTTACTACTTAATCAATGTGTATGCCTTATTTTAGGGTAATAGAAACCCCATGAGGTGAGACATATCTGCTGCTAATAGGACTGAATTGTTAAGGGCTGAATTGCTTCCCCCACAAAGTCTGTATATTCAATTCCTAACCCCAGCACCTCAGACTGTGATGGCATTTTGAGGTGTAGTCTTTAAAGAGGTAGTTAAATTAATAGAGGTGCATCCCATATAACTGGTGTCCTTATAAGAGGAAATTTTAACACAGACATCTATGAAGGGAAGACAATTTGAAGACTTGGGGATAAGAGAGCTGTCTACAAGCCAAGAAGAGCAACCTGGCACAGATCCTTTGTCCAAGGCCTGAAGAAACCAACACAGTCAGCATCTCGACCGAGGGCTTCCAGATTCCAGAACCATGAGAAAATATTTTGTTATGGTACCCAGTCTATGATACGTCACTATGGCAGCCCTAGAAAACTCCGATGTATCCAGTATCACCCCACTGATGGCCCTGGCTGCCCTTCTTGCCTCTTAGTCTCACCTGTTCAGTTAAGGGAGTAGAGCATCCTATCATCAGTTTACCAATGAAATACACCAAATATGCACAATATCTTACTCAAAGAGCTCATGCCTGTGCCCTTGTCCTCACCACCATAACCCACCATCCCCACCATTCATACATACTTAGATCTACTCTACCCGAGTGGGAACTTCTCTCTGGTCTTTAGCTTACACCCGAATTTGAAGAACAATACTTACGAGAGCCCAACTCAACAAAAAGAGGAAGCCCAGACTCTTGCCAGTTTATTTGTTCAGTAGAACCAAGAGCCTCTTGCCAAAGGGAGTGGCTTGGGGATAGATATCCTGCAGGACCAGAAAACACTTATTTCCTCAGAGACAATGTAGCATAATGTCTCCAGCACTGTCTTCTAGTCTTAGCTCATCTCCTACTTGCTTCAGTGTGCCTTGCCTCACTTTTTTCACCTGTAAAATGGGAGTATCAATCACCACTTAATGAGTTCAGCTCGAGGATTATAT